TGTGGATCACAGCCCAACATATACTAATAATCCCCCCTTTTCAGGGAAATCTTCAGAATCAATGATCATACAGCAGGCGCTTAACACTTGTTTATGTTCCAGGAACACCAGTGGAAGCTTCCTGAGTCCACAGCCAACATTTGCAGACCAACGGAACCAAGTCTCTACAATTCATGAAAGTTACCTGACTGTACCTCCTGAGCAGTTCGTGGAGGTAGAGGTCCTGACTACTCTCACAGCCATCATCGTCCCATTTGGTCTGGCAGGAAACACAGTCGTGATCTGGCTCCTGGGTTTCCGTGCACGGAGGAACCCCTTCTCAGTGTACATTCTCAACCTGGCGGTGGCCGACTTCCTGTTCATCTGCATCTTGATTGTAATCTCCCTGATTTGGCTCATTGAGTACATGCACCGGGTCTTAATTTCCTTCAACGCCGGTTATATACTGAACTATATGATATCGATTCCCTATTTCACAGACATGAGCATGGTCAGCGCCATTGGCATTGAGCGGTGCCTGTGCATCCTGTGCCCCATTTGGTACCGCTGCCGCCGCCCAAGTTACACGTCAGCTGTCATATGTACCCTGCTCTGGGCCCTGGCTCTGATGCTGACCTTCTTGCAATGGATCTACTGTGAGATCTCCTGGAATTGGTGCCTTTCATTTAGATTCTTCTTTTCGACATGCCTGATTTTCTTATTTGTAGTTCTCAGTGTGTCCAGCCTGGTTCTGCTGGTGAAGGTGTTCCATGGCTCCCAGAGGAGGAAGATGACCAGGCTCATAGTGACCATTCTGATCACTGTGTTGGTCTGCCTGCTGTGTGGCCTGCCCCTTGGTACTTTTTGGAGCATATTAAAGGATAGACATATTTTGTTGCCTGATTTATGGTGTCTGTTTCTCTCCTGTGTTAACAGCAGTGCCAATCCCATCATCTACTTCTTCGTTGGCTCCTTTAGGCAACGGCAGCGACTGAAGCCGACCCTCAGGATGGTTCTCCAGAGAGCACTGGAGGACACTCCTGAGGGGGAGGAACCTGGAGGAGCCCCACCTCAGGGTCCCTCGGAGCAGACAGAGAAGAGCAGTGTGGTGTAGTGCTGAGAGCCTCTGCTTCCACCAGAAAGTTGTGTCACCGGAGGTCAATTTGTCCCCATCAACCTGCATGCTTTTCTTAATTTTGTCATCCTCATACCTCTGATCATCACATGAGGGAGACACTTCCTCTTTGTGATGATTAAAGAGGAAAATACCTACCAAGCACAACAAAGCTGTTTTTATTTAAAATTTCATGTCAGAATTTTCCACAGTTTCTTTTTAAGATTGCATTTTTTTCCCTTCCTGGAATCAGTATTTTCATGATGATTTTACCTTAAGACTATGTTTTAGATTTCTTAAAAAGCTGATGTATACTAATCTTTCTGGGTGATTCTGAGGGCTACAGGTGGGGGATGGAAAATAGAATTGCTCATACTGTCACCATTTTTCAAGAGGTTATCATATTTTTTGATCAATGCATTTGATAGGAAATGTTTTAAAATCTGTCTACTCTTGATAAGTTTCTACCTTATGATGTCTGTCTCAATAAAATTATAAGAATTACAGTTTAAAATAGTCTCCCAAAAGTAGTGTTCTCTAATTGTGGCATTCCTAACGATAGCTTACTATTTAAATAAATGTTTACAGAATAAATCAAAAGATATATAGAAAAAATATAGCCCAATGGACTAATGGGCCATGAGAC